GGTGGCTTTCTCCTTGTCTTGCAGATGGCTGCCTTCTTGTTGTGTCCTCACATGGTTTCTCACAAAGATACCAGTCAGATTGAGGCCCACTTCTAATGACCTTATTTTACTTAATCACCTCTTTAAAAGCCTAATCCTCAAATTCAGTCACATTTTTTTTTCCTTTTTCTTTTTTTTTTTTATCAGTCACATTCTTATGTTAGGAATTAAGGCTTCAACATGAATTTTGAGGAGGAATACAATTCAACCTGTAACAACCTAAATTCTGATAGGTAATTCAGCACAGAGGTAATTTAGCACTGTTTCCAGGAGGTATAAATGGAGAAAAATGAGATTTCAAACTACTCAGAGATAAAATCCTGGGCTACTCAGGAACTAGGAGCTCCATTTTTTTCTGTAAGCTTGCCCAAAGAAGGGACAGGATAGTTAGCTTTCATTCTTTTATTCAGTAAATATGGATTGAATATCTAGGAGGCGACAGCCTCAAGAAATACAGAATTAAGCAGCAAGAACTATCTTCACCAAACCTACATTCTTTCATTGGTTCACCTTAATGAGACAACTGAAAAATTTCAAGATGCTTTATACTAATTACTAAAGGTGAATATGACAAAACACAAGTTTTATCTAACTTGCTTTACAAAGTTCCCATTTCCCATCTCATCTCAGAAACTCTGATTTTATTCTTAAGATGTTTTCCCTTTTCCACTTGTGGAATTCTCAGAACATGCTTTCAAGGAGAAAGAGCAGATAGTAGGGGAGTTGACTGCCTCTCACACAACTATAGTTTAAATCTTAACACTTCTTCAGGTATCAGTGAAAAAGTAAAAGTAACCTTTGAATTACAGAACCTCCTATCTCTCCTTGGTACAGTCTGAATCAAAGATATTTCCTTACACCCTTTTCCCTTCTGTCGTATATTCCTAACTTTTATAGATTACCATTAAGCAGTATTTACAGATTCGAGATTATTTTCAGTGTTCATTTAAAGGTAAGTTCACTTGGTTATAGGACAAAAGGCCAGGTGAGCCAAACGTTCAATTTATATTTCTAAAAGTTGAGAACCTTTCTAAGCTCTACAAAAAGAAAGCAAGATGTCTGATTAACAGCACTTTTAAGGTCTGGCTACTTACAGAATTTCTGGAACGATATTCTTAGTTACATTTTTGAGACATCCCCAATAAATATGACCATAGTGGTTAGTAAGTGATAATTATATGAGAACTTTTTTGGCTTCACTAATGAAAGGCAGCACTAACTATAATCAGTGTCAATACATACAGTGGGAAAAACGATGTTCTTGGTAAGGGATGTAACTGATTTAATTCAGTTGTCACCTGCTTTTATTCAAGTCTAAGTACAGACATCTGTTTCAGCAACTGTGGGTACATTACAGAAATAGTAACCATAAAATTCACTCAACAGATATCTATTGACAGACAACTACACATGGCAATCAACACCAGATGCTGGGAGTGATACACAAAATAAAATCACTGTCCTCATGTTGGGTGAGGGAGCATAAGAAACTCAAACATAGAACCACAAGTAAAGGTACAGAACTACAGAAAAATCACATGAGATTAAACAAGGAACTAAATGTCTACTTGTCAAATGTTTGGTATACAAATTCAGGGTTTTACTACAGTGTTTATGGTTTTCACTAAGTCCACAAAAGATTCCATTGAAACCTTCCCCCAAAGGCTGAACAATACCACGGGTCGTCATTTTACAAGCTAAATGTTTGCATAATCTATCAGTCAGCAATCTACATATTAGCATATAACCAGGAAAAACTTGTATATCAAAGACATATAAGAATGTTGTGCATAGCAACAAACTGGAAGCAACCAAAATACCGTTTGATAGAATGAATTAAAATATCTGTAACATACTCACCCAAAGGAGTATTACTCAAGAATGAAAATAAATGAGCTCCAGTAACATAATATTGAGTATTAAAGTTATGCTCCAGGAATCCAAAAACAAATGATATTCTATATAATATCTATAAGGAAGTAAAACTGAATAACATTGCTTAAGCATATGTCTACATAGATATTCACATGTGATAACTATAAACAAGATTTTTTAAAAACCCCCAAGTGAATACCAAACACAAAATTCAAAAGGGGCACATTGGGGGGGGGCATATAATTTACTGATATAGTTCTAATCCTTGGGTTAGGTGGTGAGTTGCCCCCCCCACCTTTGGTACTAGGGATTGAACCCAGGAGTGCTTTACCACTAAGCCACATCTCCAGTACTTTTCACTTTTTATTTTCAGACAGGGTTTCACTAAGCTGCTGAGGCTAACCTCGAACTTAGAATTGGACTGCCTCAGCATCCCAAGTCTCTTGGATTACAGATATTCATTATGCTCTCAATTTTTAATAAGAGTCAAGAGCAGGAGAGTTATTGAAGTTTTAATGGGCAAATAAGGATGAAACAGACATGAAAATGGGTAGGATATAGTTATTGTTTCAGTTATTAAGGTGTTTACAATCTAATGGAGGCAATATGACACATTCATAATTTTGTGTGCTTCCCTAGACATGCTCTTATGTAACATTTACAAACAACCCAAATGACCTATACTTCATGCCTAGTTAGCTTGATAGCAGAAAACAAAATCTTTTTTAAAATTTAATTTTGTATGTATATATATGTGTACACACACACACACACACACACACACACACGAGCGCGTGCACACACACATATATATTTATCTCTGGGAAATTCTGAGGTAATACTTAAACATTATGTTTCACAGATGTCCTTCTTGTCTCTTGTTACTTAAGCCTCTGATGTTGAAAGACCCCAGCCCAATAACTTTAGGCCCAGTAATAAATCACCAGGGCTTGCTTCCGCACCTGCACAGACGTCAGATGTATTTTTCAGAAAATCAGTTAAGTGTAAACGATTAAGAAAGGACAGGATGGTTGGGAAAGGAGCCGGCACGGTTGGGCAAACGGGATCATACAATGAAAAACCATACAATGAATAACAAATGGTTTTTATGTGGTTTTTCCAGGAACCTATAGTGAAAAACAAGTTTACCCTTTAAGTGACCTATATGCTGGATTCAAAAGAGCCAATGAGATACCTGTTACTGTGCTAGGAGGAAAACTGACCACTGTACCCTATAAAAGATCTGTACCCCAAAGCCCGGTGTGCCAGTTCACCGAAGCTCCGGCTGAGGTTTCGCTGAGCACCCGCAGGCGCCTGTGTATCAATAAATCGCCTCTTGCTTTTGCAGCCAGTGCCTCGTGCGTCTTTCTTGGACAGGGAATCGGCGGGTCTTTCAATGTGACTCCCAAATGCTGTTTTTACTCCCCTGCTTCTACTTTGATCTGTGGAATCATCACAACCTCATTTTTCAATTTTCACAGTGGTAGCTGGGAACAGGTTTATAACATTAAATGAAACTTACTGATCTTTGGGATGAAGCATGAGGAAACTAAACATAAAAATATTCATCAAAACACAAAAATAAAAAAAAAAAAACTTAAATTAGGCATGGTGGTAATCCCAGTGATTTAGGAGGCTGAGACAAGAGAATCACAAGTTCAAGGGCAGCCTCAGCAATTTAGCAAAACCTATCTCAAAATGAAAAAATAAAAAGGACTAAAGCGCTATGGATTCAATCCGCAGTACTAAAAACAAACAAAAAAAACAAGCTACATTTAAAGTCCACGAACCTCACCCCCTCCATAAGGGTGCAGTTGGCCACAATGTAACAGGGGCCATCTAATTTCTTCTTAGTGGCAGGACTTTTGAGGAAATGCTCCCTTAATAGTGATCTAAAGAGAAGAAAATTCTTTACCCTCATTGGAGGCTATGATTCATCTCATCTTTTGTCCCAAGGTCTGATTTAATTTTAGGAAGATTGACAGTGGTATAATTCACTTTCTTAAAGGACTATTTTACCTCTGCCCACAGGAGTGTGGGTTTATTCCCAAACCATCTCAAATCAAAGACAGTAGCATACTATCATGAGGCTGCGGTGCACTTCCCTGAATCTATATGATAAAGTTTTAAATAACAAGCTAGGAAGAATATTCTCTGAAAATGAGGAATGCTCTGTTTCTTCTGTAGTCCTTCATTTTCTAATCCCTGCAGGGAATTTCTCAAAGGGCAATATATACAACTGGGGAAAACAAAATTTACAGGAGAAAAGCATCCTTAACACATACTTCATTCTCAAAAGAATTTTCAGACTTACAACTGTAAGAATACACGGTTTACAGTTCTAAAAAAGAACATTATTTCTCATCCCAAACACCTGATTTATTTTATCCCAGTTCGTTCAGGGAAAATCTGATGAACCAGGGAGACAGGCGGATTTACCTATTTGCTTAGTCAGCTTAGAAGGCAAACGTTGCTTGCACCTTTTAAAACACTTCTGTGCACCCCAGCTTTCCCCACCTTTTCCCCAAATTTAGGGTTCAGTTTGAACAACAGCACTTCTTACAGCACACCCAAAACAAATGCTTTAGGGAGGGGGAGGGGGAGGCTCAAATGCCTTTTCCAAAAAAACTCTTCTGGAATCCTTAGCTTTAATTTCGCAGCCTTTGACTTTTTCACACGTAAAGTTTTGACCTCTGGAGCGCTGTTGCTTCCCTGGTATATTGGAAACTCCTCGCGCACCAACTGATTCATTCCCCATTCCTACTAGCACAAGGTTTGGCAAAGTGTAGGCGCCCACTAATGAATGAATGAACGGATTTGTAGAAGAAAGGCGGGAAAAGATTAGTATTTTTTGGTGTGACTAGGAGAACTACAATGGTTACAAAGTAAAGACAAAAACTTGAACAGATACCCACTTTCAGCGGGTTCTCAAAACTAGACCAGAACTGCCCACTACGCCCCGCCCACTACGCCCCGCCCACGGGCGACAGACGGGAAATACAAGCTGTCAGGAAAACCGGAAGTGACCGGTCACGCCTTGCGCATGCGTGTATCCGTTAGCTCGCGCTTCCTACAACCGGTCATCCAGTGAGGAAGCCGGGGCGCCTGGGCCGAAGCTGCCGGGTAGTCTTTGGCCCCGCGTCCCTCGCCCCCGCGCATGCGTTATGAGTTGAGCCTCTCGCACTGAGGCGGGGCGAAAGGACGGATTTTATTTTCTTGTTCCCGCCCCTCTTCTTCCCCCACCTGCCACGTACAAGGCCGGAGCTCTCGCTAGGCTAGTTGGGTCTGTGCGATTGGCTGGGGCCCGCGGCAGTCTGCGAGCTAGGTGCGGCGGCCGCGGAGGGCTACCGAGCGGGTCCTGTCTGCACCCTCCCTGAGACGCCCAGAGCCGGTCTGCGGCGGTGGCCTCACATCGCTCCGTCCACGGAGTCCAGCGCAAAGGCGACGGCCTTGTAAGCTGGTACGGCCGCAAGAGCCAGGGGTGCGGCCGCGCTCTCTTGAGAAGTCCCGGGGACGAGGAAGTGCTGGAGGGCCTCTCTGGAACCCACCGGCGCGGGGCGGGCGGCCCACGGGGGCCGTGGGAGAGGGCTAGAGCGAGCGAGCGAGCGAGGAGGGCCGACGGGACCTCGCGGGGGCTGGGAGGTCACGGAGGGGGAGGGGTGACGAGGCCGATGTTCTTGATGGCTGGGGAGTGGGCGTAGGTTTCTGGGGGGCGTTCGGCCCAGAAGTGTCTAGGCAATTCCGTGTGGCTCCCGGAGGTCGAATTGCCGGAGATCTCTGTGCGAGCCATTGGGAGCCCTGGAGTGGTGGGTGCCTAACTTGAGGGGGTTGGAAGGGTGAGAAGGGTGGAGAGGCACCTGTGGGAATAATTTGATTGGGGTCATAGAAGAGGAACCTCATTCTTTGGCTTTCAGTCCTTAAGCGCGGAGTGGAGGCCCAGCCTGGTTTTTATAATGATGACAGCTAACTTTTAAGAGTTTGCTTCTCTGGGTACTGAGTATTTTAGATGCTTGATGCTATCTAATCACGAGAACCCATTCCAACTTATTCCCGATTTGCATATGATAAGAGTGAACTTTCGAGAAGGATTTAAAGTCTCAAAGCTAATAGTGCGGATCTTTATTATTAACATTGCCTCTGGTCAGGCAGCATTTTAGGCCTCTTGCATTCTTTTGGAATAATCAAAGGTTTATTTGCTCTGGGATTTCTTGAAGGAAATTGCATCCTCAGGAGGTACCTAAACTGCTGCCTCTGAATTTGAGCAAGTGGTGGGGTCAGTGGATCCAGCGGTTTGGCCATTGAACCTAGATTCTAGTGCAAGAGGCAGGCCTTTTATTTGTTTTTGGGCACATCAGTTTATTCCCAGAACTCAAAAAAGTGCTTCTGGTGAAGTATTATGCATGTTAGTGGAGACACAGCTCAGAGGTGGTGGGGCAGGGATAAGATAAAAGAAATTGCTGTAGGGATCTTAACAGCAGTTCTAGGAACTAGTTGTTCATATGGATCTTTACTTGCTAGAGAAAGACTACCAGAATTCTGCTATTGTATAAACATGTGTGGATGGGATTTTCCCTCAGAGAAAAATGTACTCTTGTGATACTTGTGTGTTTTTCCCGAGGTAACTGCATAAATGGGGAACAGCCTTAGGAAAGAAGCATTGGTTCCTGGCTGCAGGGAATTTACAGTTGATGAGAAACGCCAAAAGTGAATTTGCTGGTAAACATGGCAGATACAGAGTATATGTGACTCAAGTTTTTAGGTCATTGGAATTGAGCTTTCCCCCCTTCCATCAGTAGGACATACTATCTAGTGTATGTGATGTTGAAATTTTTCTTAATATGATGTGGGGAGTCACTTTTAGCTACATAAGGCACACTGTGAAGGTCTGACACAAGAATTGATCTAATTTTATAGTTTTTTTTTTCCTTGAAAGTCTTTTATCAGAACTTTATTTACCCATTCATCTTTTTGTGAAGGGAACAGAAGCAATTCTTAGAGTACCTTTTACATGTCAGGCACTATTCTAGGTGCTGCCAGGAATAGATAATACCATCACACTGAAGCACTGGCTTCTCGATGTTATTACTGGTTTACATATCCTGTGGAAATACATTAATTTATTTCATGATCCTCTCAGCCTGTCAATGCAAACACAATGGAATATTTACCAACTTGCCGAAGTGCTTATACTTCAGAGGTATTCAGTAAATGTTTCCTTAATGCGCAGGACAAATTTTGCTGCAGGTGAAGAGCAAGTTGTATGGAGGTTTCAGTTCATCACGGTTTTTTGAGAAGTTCATTGTGAAATGGGAAGATAAAAAACTAACCATATTTTTATTTTGTATTAGGACAAGCATGATGTTCAGATGGCGGAACACAGTTCACTTTGTACTGCACTGACCTTGGAGTGTTATATTTAGTTTTAATGCCCCATTTCATTAAAGATTTATTAATAAAATGTGACCTGGACAGAAGATGGTGAAGGAATCTAGAGTATTCATTTAAGGAATAGGTGAAAGGACCACGAACTTTTATATAAGCAATATTGGGACATTTATATGTAATCTTCATGAAACAATTTAGGATTCTTGAACACTTTTTCAAGTATTTGAAGGATTTATATGTTGAGAGGGTTTGAATGGTTTTACACATGCACCGAAAGGACACAGTAATCGTAGAGAAATGTGATAATGTTAATAATGAATTTGAAATATGATAATGTTAATTAAATAATGAATTTAAGTAGAGGAAAAGCTGCCAGTAGTAAAACAGGAGGTTGAAGTCAAAATGTGGAGGTTGTAAGTCAGACGACTTAAACAGCTTTGAGAGATAATTTGAGGCATGAACAGGAGTTGATGCTAAGAAAATGCTTAGTGATCTTATTTTAACATATTCAGGAATATCTTGGCCTTGAGAAAATGAGATATTGACACATTATTTGCTTATAGTACTTTGTTCATGATTATACAGTAATCATTTATTAGAGATCTTGGATGATATTTTGAATTTAGAATCACAAAGTCATTATAGGATGATTTTGAATAACTTGACATAACATGAAAATAAAACCTAGGAAATGGGAAAATTATGTAGCAAGCTAGTATTTAATGGTTACTTCTAATAATGTCTTCTTAAAACAGTTTAATTCACCCACTCTGATTTGGGGGTGGGGTGGATTGAAATGGGGGTGGATATGGAATATGTAGTACAATAGTGGATAGTCTTGTACTTAGAAGGAAAACTTAGAAGGGTATCACTTATTTGCCCTTTCTCCTCAAGTTCCCAAAATAGAGGGAAATTAGAATACTCACGAGACCTTTCTTATTTAAAAGAGAAAAATTTGATTTTTCACACATGCTTTTCTCTTCCAGATTAGCATTAAAAGTTAAGGCCAATATAATTTTGAAGCCATTATTTATTTTTTCCTTATTTAACAAGTCTTGAATAATTACTGTGTGCTAGGTACTTTTTTAGGGTCTGGATATATGGCACACATACTGTGTACTTCTTACTTTCTAGTGGAAAAGACAATAAAAAGATAATTTTTAATGTCTGAAAGTGGTAATGCTTTGAAGAAAAATAAGATAGGGTACTAAGATAGGGGGTGGGGAGTCATTTTAAATTAGATGGTTAGGGAAGACTTCTGAGAAGATGACATTTGATGAGGGTTCCGAATCATAAGGGATATGAAAAGAGTCCAAGGCAAAAGGAGTAGCAAGTTGCAAAGCCTTGAGTGGAAAGGAAGAACTTAAAGCATTGGTGTAGCAGGGGTGTTTGAGGGAAAGAGGTACAAAATGAGATTAAATAGTTGGTCAGGGACCAGAGGCTAGATCATGACTTTGTAGATTTTGCTTTTTAAGACAGAAATCTGTTGGAAGATTTAGAGGACACTGACGTTAGATTTTATTTCACAGACTAATTGATGTGTTAAAAATAGATTAAAAATGGGCAAAATGGAAAAGGAGACAGATCAGGTAAGGAGTCTTTTGCAATGATTTAACCAAAAAATGGTGGTGTCTTGGATCACATTGTTAGCAGTGAAGATACTGAAGTGGTTGGATTCCAGAGACATTTCTTAAAGGGTAGTAGTAATAAGATTTGTAGTTTGGCTATAAGGTGTGAGAAAAATGAGGAACTAAGACTTTTTTATCCTGAATAACTGGAAGGTAGTTGTTGTCACTAACAAATGGGGAAAAGTAACTCTAGGAAACAGATTTTAAGTGGATGACCAGCAATTAACTTTTGGACATGTTAGAAATGTAAATGATATTGTTAGATATGCAGTTAAATATGTGGTTAAAACAATAGGAGACAAAAAAATACAACTTATTATATATGTAATACAGTTTTTGCCAGACATTTTAACATGAACATGTTAACAGTGGGATAGTGAATCACTTTTGAAGGCCAAATTTCTTATATTCTAATAGTATCTCTATTTTCAACTTTTCAGATATGTTCTATTGTATAATCATCAAAATCATTTTTATCAGTCTTTCCCTAGAGTTATATAAGAACATCCTGGAGTCCACCATGAATGGACAGTTGGACCTAAGTGGGAAGCTAATTATCAAAGCTCAACTTGGGGAGGATATTCGAAGAATTCCCATTCATAATGAAGATATTACTTATGATGAATTAGTGCTAATGATGCAGCGAGTTTTCAGAGGAAAACTTCTAAGTAATGATGAAGTTACAATAAAGTATAAAGATGAAGGTAAGAGTGTTTTTAAGGCAGTTTTTGAAAATAAGTATGTGTTCATTTGCCCATCTTTTTTATTGGACTATTCCCCCCCTCATGATATTTGATTGGCCATTTTCTTATATAATTAGTATAAGTTAAAAATAGCTAAGTTATTTATTATTAGAAGGGAGTTTTAAGTGTTAGAACACTTTCATATGCTGTTCTACAATTTTTTTTTTTTTTATTTGTTCCCCGCGGACACAACATCATTGTTTGTATGTGGTGCTGAGGATCGAACCCAGGCCGCAAGCATGCCAGGCGAGCGCGCTACCGCTTGAGCCACATCCCCAGCCCCTACAATTTTTTTATTTTCTTCTTTCTGGCCAGTTTTGACTTCCTTTTTTTTTTTTTTTTAAATTTTTTATTGTTGGCTGTTCAAAACATTACATAGTTCTTGATATATCATATTTCACAATTTGATTCAAGTGGGTCCTTTTTATTTTTAAAACCAAATTTCTACTTGTATTTCCCCAAGTGAAAGAGATATCAGTAGATATTGAATGTAAAAGAATTTAATGGTTAATTAATTAAGTATGGGAGAACTGGTTTCAACAAATGTGTTTATTACAGAAATTTTCAAGAATGTGTAATATGCTGATGTACATTGTCATTTAATAGAATGTGATGTTCCCTGACTGATTTTACCACAAAACTATTTTTATGGAGATGGATTTTACATGAGAAATGTTTGATCAAACATGCAGTGGAATTATAGCAGTAGAATATTATTTATTTCCTATTCTTTAACCAGCCTTCTTTTTAAATCACTTATGGAAATTTGTTTTGTTGGTGGTTTGGTATGTTTTTTAATCACTGAACTTATTTGTAGAGTTTTTCATCTTGAGCTCAGCATTTGGCATCTTTTTTGAAATACTCTTATCTCTTACTTTCTCTGAAACTGTGATTATTCTGGTTTTCTTTTTATTACAAATAGCTGCTTCTTTATGAGGATTGTCTTAAGGTAATGCCAGCTACTATAATAGAAATATTAAAATCTCAGTGGGTCCACACTGAAGAAATCATTTAGGGACCCAGACTGACAGAAGCTCTGTTATTTTTTTATTTTGAAAAAGCTCCATTATCTTTAACACATGGCTTACAAAAATCATCAAAATAAAAAATTGACATCCAGCAGGCAGATGGATGAAGAAAGAGTGTGAAGGGATATTACTTGCTAGGCATCAAGGTGATATATAACTTCAATATTGGTCCAAACCCAGTCAGATGGCTTTGGTGAGATGCAGGTGGAAAGTGTTGTCCCTGGCTGAGCAGCCACTTTATAAAATTTGCCCTATGGAGAAGGAGTGTAAAATCAACTGATAATCAACTAAGCTGGCCATGTAGTTACAGGCACAATTCTCCCTTCTTGTGACATGTGATCAAAGAGCACCCTAGCTAATTTTTGAGAATTACTCATGTTTAGGAACAATAAAGGAGGTATTTCGTCCTGTTCTTTTATCTAGTAATCTCATCAACTCAAAATACACTGCTTTTCACCCCTGTGACTTCCAAATGTATGACGTAAAATTGATCAGTTAATTTTTCTTTCTTGACTTTACAATTCAAAATTTTAATAGTTGTCTTTTAACCTAAGATGCTTTGCTTTGCCTCAAACTTAGCATATCTTAAAATGACCTTGCTGATTGGCTTTCTCTTATATTTCCTATTTTCATGTCAGTAAACTTTTCCTATAAAAGATCAGATAATATTATAGTTTTGTGGATCATATAAGGCCTTTTCTCATCATCACAGCCATTTTTTTAACTGCTTCTTAAAAATCTAAAAACTATGGGGCTGGGGCTATAGCTCAGTGGTAGAGCGCATGCCTCACTGTGAGGCACTGGGTTCAATTCTCAGCACCACATAAAAATAAATAAATATGTTGTGTCCATCTATAAATAAAAAATATATTTAAAAAAAATCTGAAAACCAATCTTAGTTCACAGTCCTGTAAAAACAGCGATGGATCCATTGGGTCAAATTGTAGATTCCTCGTTGTTGAAGTGTGTCATCCTTATCTGGCTACCAAATTATATATATTTTTTTTTCACGTGTTTTTGAAGTGTTCTGAATCATTCAGATTTGTGTTTCATAGTCTGTGTTGGGCTCTAGAGTGAAGGGACTGCTCAGGTAGATTCTACTATTAGATATTCTGTTTCTGTTGTGTGATTCAGTAAAGGAAAAAGACAAAATTATAGGAAATTTCCTTCTTTTACATCTATATTTTCTTAAAATGCATTTATGAGTCAAGTCTTTCAGAGCTGTATGTTGGACATATATGTGATAGGAATTAGGTTTAGTTATAAAGAGCTAAAATAATTACAGAGTGCTCGGTTATGGCTTTTATTGCCATCTTAGTCCAAAATAAAGCTATGTAGTCCATTTAAGATTAGTGCAGAAGAGCATTCCTGGAGTGGCCTCTTGGCCTTCACCAGATAAAAATTCCCACCCAACTGTGTGAAGATGCACTGTAAAAGGCCCCTGATCAACTCCTTGTCTGTCCGTGCTTTTCTGTTCTTGTTCTTTGTAGGGAATTTTTTTTTCCCCCTAGTCCTTTGAAAGCTTTTGAAACATGCAGTTGATATGCTAATTATAGTATTCTTTATCCCTGAGATCTAGGGGATTTCACAGTCTTCATTGTGTGCTATTTTTTGTATATATAAATATTTTTTTTTCTGGGGAAAGTTGATACTTTTAGTATCAAAATGGTCACTAACCTGAAAGACTCTACTGTTCATTCATTAACAATTCTTCAAGAACTCTGAGTTATTGTTATGTATGACTTCTCTCCATTTGCTTGTGTCAGTGTGTTTTATTTAGAATTAAGAATAGATTCTTGAGAATCCTTATTACTTTCATTTTTTATAAATATATTTAAAGTTTTCAAAATGGAAAGATTTTGGCTAAATCAATAATTCACACTATTGCTACCATAAACTTAGTGACTAGTAAAATTTAATACATGTATTAACTCAGCAACATTTTCTCACGAGGATATGATAAATTCTTTGCTTGTAAGAGTAATAAGAAAAGTTGATTTAGTATTTTTTTAAACAATTCACATTTCTCAGATGATTCTTTAATGTTTGTTTTAAGGTTTTTCTAGGAGATTCTAATTATGTTCTGCAATATACATTTTGAATTTAAATTTTCATATGTCCCAGTTTATTCCTGTTAACAAATCTGAAACTTGTGTGTTTTGTTTTTTAATTCCAGATGGAGATCTTATAACAATTTTTGATAGTTCTGACCTTTCCTTTGCTATTCAGTGTAGTAGGATACTGAAACTGACATTATTTGGTGAGTGGTAAACTTTTTAATATTTTTATTAAAATCTTTTGTCTTTTTTCCTTTCTAAAGGCTTTTTTTTTTTTTTCCTTCTAAAGGCTCAGAATTAAATGACAATGTAGTCAAAAGTGCTTATATCAGTTTTCATTTAAGGAGTAGTTTTAAATTGCTTGACGTTTTCTTATGTTTTAAGTTTAATTCAGTAAGAACAGTTTTGAAATAAAATACAACTTATATATCCTTAGCTATGTTGGAATTTTTGAGTTCTTAGACTGCTTGTATTTGGGGAAGATTCACAGAAAGTCAATACATTCTGCATCTACTTTGTTACTGTAAATAGTAATGCATGCCTTTTAGTTAAATGTATCACATTAAAAATAATTGCAGGGCTAAAACTTCCTGTGGGTTCTTGTTCAAGACAATACAATGATCTTGACATACATTTGATTCAAATAGGGTATGAATTCTCATTTTTCCACATGTACAGATTGCAGGATCACATTGGTTATACATCCATGTGTATACATACAGCAATCCTAGTGTCAGTTGTATTCTGCTGCCCTCCCTATCCCCCCTCCCCTCCCATCCCTATTGTCTACCCAAACTACTGTGACACTTATCTCTCTTTTTTTTCCCCTTCCCTTCCCCCTCACACTATCGTATATGTTTAAGAATTTATAATTATCTTTCTCTATAACAGAGCATGTTTTTATGTATTCTCAGGGCTTAACATATAATATAAGCCAATACTTTTGATCTTATTTTTCAAGTATTATTTAAAGACTAAAGATAGTACTGATAATAACAAATACAGACTAATTTTAATCTTTTAGATCTAGATTTGCAAGGTGAAATACTTAATGGACAAGATAGAAATGGTTGGTTACAGAGTTAAAGTAGGAGCATTATTATTTGAAAAATAAGGTGTACACTTTTTTTGGATGCTTTGTTTATCATTTACTTTTTCAAATATGTTATTGAACTTTAGCGTTTCATGAGAGATGGGCATGCCTGATTGATTTAAGTTTATCTGTTTTTATTTCCACATAGGAAAAATGAACAAGAATCAGATTTTAAATGTTAATAATAAAAATTATTAATTTTTTTTTTTAAAATAAAAGCTATCTTTTCTCAATATGAAATGTAAAATACTTAACCACTGTTAGCCAAGTATAAGATAGAACCCACCTTGCTAGAAGCACTCACATGGTAGGTATAAACTATACCAACTATATTTTATTGAATTATGCAACTTGGCTTGTCCAGGAAAGTAAGGGAAATATCCAGGGACCAAAAAAATTAATGAAACTAAAAACCAGGGCCTGAATACCAAACACTGATTTAAGTTGGAATATTCTTGGTGGTAATCGTGAATATGTTAGCATAATCTTAAGATTTTGTCATTTGGTGTCTAAATGTGGTAAGTTCTAGATCCTGTATAGCCCCCTCAATGGGCTATATTCTCAAAAAGAATATTGTAGAAAATAAATATCTTCCTTGATAAAGGAAAGATCAAGGAAGCTTAACATATGCTGGGCTATCAGGGTTTTGGAAGTCTCCCTTGAGGATTCATAACCAAGGTTAGGAGCGCTGAGTTTAAGTTTAAACTACCTAGGTAGTTTGGAATCTCTCAAGCCCAGATTTAAAAACAAAACAAAACAAAAACAAAGGCAGAAATCTCTCTGAAGGGGCATATGAGTCTTAAGTCACATGTTTCTCACAGATGGGTTTTAGTATTAAAAATTGTAAGACACAAGAACCAGTTCATATAAGGAATAAACAGTGGCCATAACTAATAGAATTAGACTTCTAAAAACTTGAGTTAATAGAAATGACAGTCTATAAAATATATGTTAACAGTTATTAAAGGGGCTAGGGCTATAGCTCAGTGGCAGAGTGCTTGCCTAGCATGTGTGAAGCACTGGGTTCAGTCCTCAACATCACATGAAAATAAACAAAGACTTGCTGTCCATCTACAACCACAACTTTTTTTATTTTAAAATTATTATATACATAAGGAATAAAAATGTAAGAGCAAGGTACTATGAAAAAGAACAAATAGATTCTTAAAAAGAACTTAAGGTAACTTTTTAGAAATTGTCTTTGACGTTGAATTCTAAGTAGATAGGTTAAATAGCTGATTAGTCATGGTGAAAAAGAGAATTTGGACATCAAAAGGAAGCCAAAAGAAATCGTAATAAAACAGAAAAACAGATGTGGAGAATATGAAATAGAAGTTGAGAATGAGAAAGTCAAGCATATTTCCATTAAGAATTTTAAAAAGGAGAGAGTGGGGGGTGTGGACATATATGAAGAGGTAGTGACTAAAGAAGTTTTCAAGATTACATAAAAGATATAAACCTTTATGTATAAACATGGATGTATAACCAATGTGACCCTGCAGTCTGTACACGTGGTAAAAATAAGAATTCATAACCCTCTTGAATCAAATGTATGAAATATGATGTCAAGATCATTGTAATGTTTTGAGCAACCAATAAAAAGAAAAAAAGATATAAACCTTTAGATTCAGGAGGCAGAGTGAATCCTAAGCAAGATAAGTAAAAATAAATCCCCACAAGATACTGTTATGAAACTGTAATATACATAAAACAAAGAAATTATAAAAGTATCCAGCAAGAATACTCAACTATGAAGCAATTAGACTGTTAGTAAATTTTTATTCATAGTAGTAACAGAAACTAGAAGACAGAAATAACATCTTCAAATGGTTAAGAATAACTAGAAAAGTAGCATTCCACAGTTTGCTAAACTTCAGGATGAAGGGGAAATAACATTTTCAAACAAAGGTAGAATCTACCATTCAGAGGCTCTTGTTAGAAGAATTTTTAAAATTGGGTTTCAGTGAAAAGGAAATGACTCTGGAAAATAGTGAAAGTGGCAAGCTGTGTTGATTACAAAAAACAGTAATAGTTTAGGAATACAAAAACAATACAATTAACACATATGGGCAAAGATGTGGGGGGAAAAGATTGCTGATGGGAAAGCAAATGGGTGCAACCATACTGGAGAGCACTATGGAGGAAAATTTCTCAAAATACTTGGAGTGGAACCACCATTTGACCCAGTTATCCCACTCCTTGGTTTATAACCAAAGGATTTAAAATCAGCATACTACAATGACACAGCCACATTAGTGTTTATAGCAGCTCAATTCACTTTAACTAAGCTATGGAACCAACGTAGGTACCCTTCAACAGATGAATGAATAAAGAAAATGTGGTATATATACACAATGGAATGTTGCTCAACCATAAAGAAGAATAAAATTATGGCATTTGCTAGAAACTGGAGAATATCATGCTAATCAAAATAAGCTAATTCCCAGAAACCAAAGGCCAAATATTCTCTCTGATATGTGGATGCTAACACACAATGCAGGGGTGGGAGGTAGAAGTTTAATAGTTTAGACAAAGAGGAATGAAGGGAAGGGAGGGTATAAAGGAATAGAAAAGATAGTAGAATGAATTGAACATAACTTTCCTATATTCACATATGAATATATGACCAGTGAAACTTCCCATCATGTACAACTATAAGAATGGGATCCTAATTAGAATAAGTTATAGTTCATGTGTGTATAATATGTCAAAAAACACTCTACTGTCATATATATTTAAAAAGAACAAATTAAAAAATGGAAAAAGAAATAAATAAAAACACTCTGGCACTTAAAAAAAAAAAAGAAAGAAAAGTGGAAGGAAACTCAAAGCATGGTGTCTGCAAGCCAGGAGGATACATACCTCAGTTTAATCTTGGGATGGCCCATGAAGACCCCAACCTGATCCTTGTTGGTATCATCTCATTTCCTCATCAGGAAAAGGGGAGTCTTCCAGCCAGATATTCCTGTTGTCCTGGGCTAACCAAATCCCTGACTCTGACCAAATTGCTGTAAACAGCCACAAGGACACATTCAGCCCTTGGGCTTTAGACCTTTGCCCTTCATCTACAGTGTTTCCTCTGCTTTACTCCTCTTTATGAAGCTTGGGCAAATCCCAGCTTGTCCTTGAAACTTTTCCCCCAATTCCCTGACTACATTTATCCTTTGCTTTTTATAAATACCATGGATTATATTCTTCAAAAACTTTTTTATTTATTATTATTTATTCCCCAGCAATACAGTATAGTATCATCTGTTCCTTAAGTCTTTGGTGGAATACTTGATTCAATTTCTTTAATGTTAATTGGATAATCAAACTTTGTATTTCTTAAAACACTCTGTACATTAAATTTATCTAAAAATTGTCAAGGTCATCTGAGTTTTTAATTGAAATAAAGTTATTCAGAGTATTCACAGTAAATGTTTATTTATTTTTAGTTAAACCTCTTTTCATTTCTAATATTGCTTATGAAGTTTGCCAGTTATATCTTCATAACTGCTAATCCTGACAATTCTGGTAAGATATAGATCAGTGTGCTCTAAACAGAGACCACTAGGAACGCCTCTGTAGTTGAACGAAGTTGGGTTTATTGACTTACTATAGTAAGGGAAAATGACTACCAGGGAAAACAATAAGGTATTCCAGTGTATGTTAGAACTATTTTTTGTAGGGTTTGGGCTTCTGTTAAGTGACTTTGGATAAGGTTCTGTAAGTAGGGCTTTGTTCTGTATTGAATACCAAGAGGAAGCAGCAGGGGTTCTATGATTATCTTACTACATCTAAATGGAAGCAATGGATCTTACTAAATCTTATGTAGAAGGTGGGAGGGAGGAAGGACTTGAGGTTAAGGCTGCAATTGGTAAAGCAGTAGCAATTATTCATTGGCCTGATTATGGAGTGCCCCTTCCCCCCATTTGATGTATCATGGTCAGAGTGGTCTTAGCTAATGTTGATGTTCTTTGAAAATATGTATGTTCAACAGGGAAACACCACAGTCTATCTGTGAGTGCCAGGTCAGCTTCTAGTAGCACTAAGGCCTGTCTTACTGTACCAGGCCAGTTTCTGATCTTATGAATTGCTTTTTTTCTTCTTAGATATTGGAGGAAAATCAGTAATCCCCAATGAAAGCTATTAATAAATTGATATAGGTAGAAGATTGTATTGAATTTCCTTGTAACAGGAAGTTTGTGAATTATTGATGGATTATATTCTGAAAACTTATAGGTTCTTTGATACTTGAAACATTTAACAAAGAATATCTCTGCACCTTTATTTCCACATAGGTATTCTTTTTTAAATTAGATGCTTCAGAAGTTCGTGCACATGTACTGTCAATGCTTAAGACATTTTAGTTTATTTTAATTTTTGAACTCTTACCTTGGTTTTGCATTCAGAGCCTTTTTAGTTTTTTTTTTCTTTTTAAAAAAAATCACCACAATGGTGACAGTTTTTATAACTAATGAGGTGTTCAGTTTTTTTTTAATCTGCTGAAAGTCATTTGGGCTAAATTATCAGTCATGTTGTGTGTTAACATTTATTCATAGAATAAGATGTTTTTGTATTTCAAGAATATTAAATAATGTTAAATATAATTTTGACTACATAATTTCTGTTCAAAGCAATATCAGTTAAATTTAATAATTTCTATTAAAATAGACCTTTCTGTAGCTCTGCTTAATTTTATTATAGTTGAATTTTCTCTTAAACTTTTTTGCAAGTAGTCGTAAGCCATTGGTCTGACATCAAGAAAGGATGATCATGTTTCTTTTTTCGAAAAACTAAGTTATTAACAATAAAGAATTCTTTCCTTAAAAAAAATCATTCAACTGATGTCAGTACATATATTGTTTTTGTTTTAAAAGGTAAAACAAAATTATTTTCCCTTATTGCATGTTCTGTTGATGTACTTCTTAAAGAACATCTTCTGACTTTAAACAAATTAATGCTTTTATTTTAGTTAATGGCCAACCAAGACCCCTCGAATCAAGTCAGGTAAAATATCTCCGTCGAGAATTGATAGAACTTAGGAATAAAGTGAATCGCTTATTGGATAGCTTGGAACCACCTGGAGAACCAGGACCTTCCACCAATATTCCTGAAAATGGTAAAGCATGAATCCATTTTATTCTGATTAACTGTTTTTGTATCTTTTTGCACATATTAAAAAAAACAAACACAAACTTCTCTGCTATTAATAGAATGGCATCCTTACTGCCACTCTTTCTTCTTCTTGCCTCTGCTTTTGTATAGTGTTCATATCTGTGTTCCCAAAGCTATCTGTTCATCAGGCTTACCAGGAAGTTGTATTTTACCACATAGATCACATAGACCTACAGTGGATGGGGGAGGTAGGGTGGGAGGGTGCATGGTGAGGGTAGGAACTACAATCTGATTTTTAAAATGCTCTCTGGATGATTCTTTCACAGCTAGTCTTAGACTTATGGGTTTATGTCATAGGTCAGTTTTCAATTCCTTTTGATTCATGAACCTTTTTAGTATAGTAGATAATTAATGAATGTTAGGAATTGAAATCATTTCATGAGTTTTATGTAGAATATGAACTAGTTTCAAATAAAAATAATGTTAGCATATTAAAATTATTTATTTTAAGCACAGTTTTTAATTATAAGAAGAAAAACAATTAGTTTTTACAGATGACATGGACAGTTTATATTAAGATAAAGTAAGAGTTATTGGACAAATTTGGAACTGACATAGTTTTGGGACCAAATGTATTTTAAAATGCACACTGAAATTTAAGCATGTGTTATTATTTGAAAGTAGATGTTTAAAAACTACTTTACCTCAATTTCTGTTTAAGATTCTTAGGTATTGCACTTTCAAAAGACTGATTTTTTTTAAAAAATAATTTTTTTGTATATATTATAATTTTCAAATGTTTATATTATGAAATACTAATTTTCTCTAGTCTGGATGACTGCATAATAGGGGAAAAATAGAAAACCATTTCTGTGGAAAAGTGGAAAGTACAATTTTGATTTTCACATTATTCTATTTTTTGCCTCTGAATAATTTTGGAGGTTTGGTTTTCTCCTTTCTTGGGATTAAACCTTACTACATGATAAGCACACATGCTACCACTGAGCTATACCCCAGCCCCTTCCCCCCCACCGCTCCCCCTTTAATTAGAGATGCATTTTCTGCTTTTTCCCTCTTCTCTTAGCCATATGGAATTGTGTTAATAATATATGTCAATAAATATTTGGGGATGGATTAGTAATATCCATCACCCAAATCTGTTTCAGAACATATTAGAGATTTGCTGAAATATTGTTTTGACATTCTCCTGGTCTCTCTTATGAAGAAAGCTTTTGTATTTCAGGTCAAAATGGTCTTCTCATTCTGAACTCTACTTTTCCAAATTAAAAAGTTTCAATTTTAGATCAAAGAGCTAAAGAAAAAACTTTAGGCCATTTTCCCAGAAGAATTAATAGATGCTAATATAGCAGTTGAATATAATTTAGAGGGTATAACCACCTGTTGAATATTGTAAAACACATTCAGAATTCAATCAGTATAGCCAGTACTGTGTAGAAATTTCCTACAGTGGTAAAATAATTATATACTTTTTGGTTTACACAAAACCTTTATTTTCTTGCCTGTTTCTTGCTACTTTATCTAATATTTTTTATCAGTTCTTTGTTATTGTATTTTTATATTTTATTAACTGTTCACCTATATTAATATATAAGATTTTAAAATTGTTTTCTTCCTCTGCATCTTGAAATTTAGGCTATATATTGTTCTTTGTGTGGGCATCTTCTAGGTATTGTGTCCAGTTTGATTTTTCTGTTGATAAAATATAGAAGAGTAATATGGTCTGTTTTAGTTTAAGAGATGGTTATAATTTATTTTTTTGTTTTTTCTTTTAGAGTTAGTAGGTTAACTTACCTCTTGGCTACTGGCTTCTATGAAAGGTCATGTCAAAGCTCTGAGAACATATACCAATTTAATAATCTCCTCCTTAAGAAAATAGCATAAATAAACTAAAAAAAAAAAAAAAAAAAAACACCTATATAAGACACATGAAAGTATAGCATAACAAACAAAACTGCCAGTCAGCTATCAGTACTATTCAGAGCCTTTTGACTTACCCTCACTGAGAAACATGTGGCCACCTGTGGTCTTCAGGGTTGTACCTCTGCAGTGGTTTTGGACTTTTGTTTTCCTCTGTGAGGCAAATGATGTATAAGCTATGTGAGATACTAGATTGACTTGTTGTAGTTCTTCAGCTAATGAAACAAGTAATAGCTTAGTGGACATATTGTGTGTTTTCTAATGGATTCAGTTTGGGATAGGTGAAAAGAGGCGTAACTAATAAAACATAGTAGTGATGTGGAGGGAAATAAAATATTTATTTTATAAGACTGATATCTTATGCTTTTAGGATTAGAGATGGGAAATTGGTGAGAAATGTAGATAACTGGTAGACATTTTAAAGGAGTCCTTACAGCAGTTTTTTTTTTTTTTTTAAACTCCCAGAAAGTTAGGAAATATTAGAACCACCTGGAATGGCAGTTATTCTGAATGAAAGCTGCATGCCAATGTGTGCTGAGATTGCTTATATAATACTTAATAATACTTATATTTTTTCCGTAAGATTAATTTTTATTGATCCTGGGGAATCTAATAACTGATGTTCATTTACTTGTTTGGTAACAAAAAATTGATAGTTGTTATCTGTTAATTGAGTAAGTGGTTAACAACATTCTTTTTGACTACTTGTTTATGTTGTTGTTGTCCTTTTTTTTTTTTTTTATTTAATGTGTCTTGACCTTAGATTACTATTTGTAAAACATAAGTTATTCTTGAAAGTCTTTTCTTTCACAATGTAGAAGTATAGGTGCTTAGTGAACACCTTACTATTCATACAAGAAAAACATGGTTTTAAATATAACCTGCTTACAATATTTAGAAATTTATTTTTTCTGATTCTTTTTTAAAAAACATTTTATTATGGGAAACATTTAAATATGTATAAAAGTAGACACAATTTATAATAAATCACATGGACCCATATTCACTTTGAACAATTATCAGCTCAGTATTGTCATTTGTGCTCCTACTCATTTCCACTCCTGCTGTATTACTTTGAAAAAAGATTCCAAACACATCATTTCATCTGTAAATATTTTGATAAGTAATTTAGTAAATATTAAAATAAGTAACAGAAGTATTTTATGTGCTGTTTACATAAGATTAAGCATGAATTTTGGTCTTGTAACTTAATAATGGAACAATACATAATAGAATATAAATAAAACATAAAAGTTGATATTATAATTTTAGTTAAGCTTCTTATCCTTTTACCAAATAAACCATTAATTACTATAACTTATTTCCTGAGTGCCCAGTATGTATGTGATACTAAAATATAGGTCCCAGGACTTCTTCATTTGCTGATTCATTTGCTTATTTCCCTAATAATCATTAGAAAAGGAAGTACATAATGATTTTTTGGAAAAATTGTTACTGATCTTGCATCTTTTTTTGCTCTTTTCCTCAGTATTTTAAAAATAAAAACGTAAGTATGAAGAAAACAGTAAAATGATATATAATTCTGTATTCAGAGATATTTTTAGCATTATACACAATATCCATGCACATACATATTTACCTGTCTTGTATTTTTAGACTTTTTGAGAATAGATAAGATGGAAATAGCTTGTTTTTCTTCCTTTATTCTTCCTGCAGATACTGTGGATGGTAGGGAAGAAAAGCCTGCTGCTTCTGATTCTTCTGGAAAACAGTCTACTCAGGTTATGGCAGCAAGTATGTCAGCTTTTGATCCTTTGAAAAACCAAGATGAAATCAATAAAAATGTAATGTCAGCATTTGGTTTAACAGATGATCAGGTTTCAGGTAAGTTAGTTTTATTTCTCTCTCATCCTCCATCTCCTTCTTCTTTTCTAACCTCCCTTTTGTTTTTTGTTTATTGAACAATTATTTGGACATGGTGAAGTGCACAGTCTTAAGGTTATTCAAGAAATGTTTGTATATGCATATACCCATGTAAAATCGCTGACTAGATCAAAAAGTAGATGATTTCAGAGGTTTTTTTTTTTTCCCTTTCCAAGTCAGTAGTATCTTTTACCTTTAAAAATAAATAAATACATACATACATACATACAAACCTATTTTATTTCAAATAAATTTATGATATTTATACATATAAGATTATAGATTTCAGATTTCTTGCAAGATTTAAATTACACTTGATAGACCTTACTATCTTTTCTGATCTTAAATCATAAATTTCTGGTTAAATTGTTGTTGTTTTTTTTTTTGAATAAGTTTTTAACCTTAAAGCAGCATACTATATTGTGGTATATTTTTTTATCTTATTTTAAACATTTTTTTCTGCTTCTTTGAGATTCTAATTACCCGTTTACTGAAGACCTTGTTATTGCCTAATGGATGTTTGAAGTTCTTCTTTATTTTTTTTTCTACTGGATAATTTCTGTTTAACTGTCGTAAAGGTCACTGATTATTTCTATCTTTTCTAATCTGCCATTGAACCTTTCTAATGAATTTTTTATTTGGATTGTGCTTTCAGTACTGGAGTGACCATTTGTTTTTATGGGTTTTTTTTCCATTGAAATTCCTTGTTTTTATAGTCATTAAAACTAAATTTTCCTATAATTCTTGGATATATTTTTAATTCTTTAAAAATATTGCAAATAACTGTTTTGAAATGTTTTTTAACATACAACAATATGGGTCTATTTGGAGTCCGTTTCTATTGACTATGTCTTCCTCCCCCCAATATAGGTCAAATTTTCCTGTTTGCATTTCTAATAGTTTTTGGTTGAAAACTGGGCATTGTAGTTGGTGTTTTGTAACTTAGGATTGTTGATATTTTTTTGAGGAGCTTTGTTACTGTCCTAGCAGAGAGTTAATATTTATGGACTTAAACTGATTGCCTTTGTCCTCATGGTGTACATAACAACTGGTATCTCTGTTGTAGGTGCTTTTTTCCTCCTCCCCTTTCTCTTGAGCCCTCTTGAGTTATCCCCTTCCCAGCCCTATGATCAGCTAAGGATTGGAACAGACTTTTATACTTGGCTTAGGTATTATTCCTTCAGTGATACTCTTGCTTCAGGGATTTCCCCCCTAAATTTCCAGCTGCCTATTCAGCCACCACATTGTTAACAGTGTAGTTTTCTGCCAGTGGACCTGCAGGGGTTAGTGTTGCAATTCATATCTTTTGTAATTCCACTGGGGTAAACTCTTTCCTGATTTCTATGGCATTTGATTGATTTTCAGTTATTTCAAATAATTGTTTTCTTCTATTTTGTTTGAGTTTTTAGTTGTTTCCTGTGGGAGGATTTACCTGGCCAGTTTACTTTGCCATTATCAGTAGTTGGAAATATAGTATGTAATCTGTTCATTTTTGGTTTTGTTTGGGAACTTTTATGGGAATTTTCACCATAGAGAATTGTATGAAATACTGAAAAGACAAATATTTGTTTATGATGTTTTTTCTTGGCAAGAGAAACTACCAGATGAATTATAACCATGGAAAACACATTTTTAGAGTAACTAATACATGAATTACTGTTTCAACTACTTATTTAAGATTTTAGGAATTATCACATAGAGGAGTGAATAGTTATATAACAGGTTAGTCTTGAAAATTTTGAATTGAATAAAGTATACGCCATGCCAAGAATAATATGATTGTGATTCATATTATTTGAAGACTACTTTTTGGTAGCTTTGTACATTGAATGGTAGTAGGAAAAACTGTGTACATAGATAATAGCCAGGAGGATACTTTTGTAGTTCTTGAGGAGTGATATAAAATCCTTGGCTACCATAGTGAATGTATAAAAAAAAGAAGGGATAAACTATAAAAATAATCTAATAAATTATACACAAGTGAAGGAAGAGGAGTCAAAGTAATATATCTTTTGGATAATAGCACCATGTCTTTTGTAGGAAGAAGGTATGTATGTATTTGTTTATATATAAGTAAAATGGTGGTAGAAGGAAAAGCAGTCATCCATTGTACTCTGGTAATCATGGGTTTTTCCCTCATTACTGTATGCTAGTTTAGGTTCTCATTAGTATAGGACTGTTAGCTGCCAACTGTATGCATAATATAGTGCTTACGTTCTAGGAATACATGAATGCAGAAGGTAGAGGTTTGTCCTCAGGGTAATTAGTCTGCTAATAATAGCAAGTACTTATATGGGACTTTCTAAATCTTAATCGCTTCTATAAGCTTTTGCTGTATAATCACTTATAAACATCAGCTCTGAGCCCTTATTAACTCATTCTTACAGTAATCATACATAGGAATTAGTATATATATCTTTTATGCAGATGGTGAAATTGGCCACAGGAAAAGATTAAATAATAATCACTAGCTCAAGTTAGTATTGGCCACCCTGGGATTCAAACCTAAATAATATGACTCCAAACCCTATGCTTTTAACTACTCTCCTGTGTTGCCAAAACATGAAGAAAAGAAGTAGGACATCATTTATTATGTGCCAAATATCTTTTTTGACTGTCACAGTATTGGAACTGTTGCAGATTCTCTCCATTCACTTCTGTGTTCATTATTCTGGAAGAATTTGAGTGGCTACATGTGTAAATTAAAGAGCTAGGCTTGTAAAGCAAGCAAAAAAGAATTAAGAATCAGGAGCATGGCCAGAGAGTTCACAATTGAAGAGAAAAGATGGGAACTATTCAGAAATGTGAAGTACAAGTTTGTATGGGTCATAATAAAAGTAAATTATACAGCAATTAATGAGTAGAATAAAGTATGGATCAATAAAGCTTTAAGAGAAGTGTAGTATTATAAGCTGGTTTTAAAGAATCTCATAGTTAAGTATGTGAATGTTATATTTAAATATATGGGGTACATGGAGGTAACAGTGATACATGAAATAGAAGCCAAAACATTGTTAGATATAGAGGGGGAATAGGGAGTAGGTCAATTAAGCTGAAGAAAGGGCATGTGAGAAGAAAAATTATGGGTTCTTGAACAACAAACTAGGGGTTGAACTTAATTTGGGAGAAAACCTGGTAAAGAGTGAAATAATAATATTGGTTGATTTACTTTTTTCTCAGCAGCACATGGATCCTTCTCAAAAATAGATCATATATTATGTCACAGGGCAACTCTTAGACAATATAAAGGAGTAGAGATATTACCATGCATCTTATCTGATCATAATGGAATGAAACTGAAAATCAACGATAAAAGAAGGAAGGAAAAAGCATACATCAATTGGAGAATGAACAATAGGTTACTGAATGATCAATGGGTTATAGAAGACATCAAGGAGGAAATTAAAAAATTCTTAGAGATAAATGAAAACACAGACACAACATATCGGAATCTATGGGACACATTGAAAGCAGTTCTAAGAGGAAAATTCATTGCTTGGAGTTCATTCCTTAAAAAAAGAAAAAACCAACAAATAAATGATCTCATACTTCATCTCAAAATCCTTGAAAAAGAAGAGCAAAACAACAGCAAAAGAAGTAGAAGGCAAGAAATAATTAAAATCAGAGCTGAAATTAATGAAATCGAAACAAAAGAAACAATTGAAAAAATTGACAAAACTAAAAGTTGGTTCTTTGAAAAAATAAACAAAATCGACAGACCCTTAGCGATGCTAGTGAAGAGAAGAAGAGAGAGAACTCAAATTACTAGCATACGGGATGAAAAAGGCAATATCACAACAGACACTTCAGAAATACAGAAGATAATCAAAAACTATTTTGAATCCTTATACTCCAATAAATTAGAAGATAGTGAAGGCATAGATAAATTTCTTAAGTCATATGATCTGCCCAGATTGAGTCAGGAGGATATAGAAAACCTAAACAGACCAATATCAATTGAGGAGATAGAAGAAACCATCAAAAGACTACCAACTAAGAAAAGCCCAGGTCCCGATGGGTATACAGCAGAATTTTACAAAACCTTTAAAGAAGAACTAATACCAATACTTTTCAAGCTACTTCAGGAAATAGAAAAGGAGGGAGAACTTCCAAATTCATTCTATGAGGCCAACATCACCCTGATACCTAAACCAGACAAAGACACTTCAAAGAAAGAAAACTACAGACCAATATCTCTAATGAACCTAGATGCAAAAATCCTCAATAAAATTCTGGCGAATCGGATACAAAAACATATAAAAAAAATTGTACACCATGATCAAGTAGGATTCATCCCTGGGATGCAAGGCTGGTTCAATATACGGAAATCAATAAATGTTATTCACCACATCAATAGACTTAAGAATAAGAACCATATGATCATCTCGATAGATGCGGAAAAAGCATTTGACAAAGTACAGCATCCCTTTATGTTCAAAACTCTAGAAAAACTAGGGATAACAGGAACATACCTCAATATTGTAAAAGCAATCTATGCTAAGCCTCAGGCTAGCATTATTCTGAATGGAGAAAAACTGAAGGCATTCCCTCTAAAATCTGGAACAAGACAGGGATGCCCTCTCTCTCCACTTCTCTTCAACATAGTTCTCGAAACACTGGCCAGAGCAATTAGACAGACGAAAGAAATTAAAGGCATAAAAATAGGAAAAGAAGAAATTAAATTATCACTATTTGCAGATGATATGATTCTATATCTAGCAGACCCAAAAGGCTCTACAAAGAAACTATTAGAGCTAATAAATGAATTCAGCAAAGTGGCAGGATTTAAAATCAACACGCATAAATCAAAGGCATTCCTGTATATCAGCGACAAATCCTCTGAAATGGAAATGAGGACAACCACTCCATTCAAAATATCTTCAAAAAAAATAAAATACTTGGGAATCAACCTAACAAAAGAGGTGAAAGACTTATACAATGAAAACTACAGAACCCTAAAGAGAGAAATAGAAGAAGATCTTAGAAGATGGAAAAATATACCCTGTTCATGGATAGGCAGAACTAACATCATCAAAATGGCGATATTACCAAAAGTTCTCTATAGGTTTAATGCAATGCCAATCAAAATCCCAATGGCATTTCTTGTAGAAATAGAGAAAGCAATCATGAAATTCATATGGAAAAATAAAAGACCCAGAATAGCAAAAACAATGCTAAGCAAGAAGTGTGAATCAGGCGGTATAGCGATACCAGACTTCAAACTATACTACAGAGCAATAGTAACAAAAACAGCATGGTACTGGTACCAAAACAGGCGTGTGGACCAATGGTACAGAATAGAGGACACAGAAACCAATCCACAAAACTACAACTATCTTATATTTGATAAAGGGGCTAAAAGCATGCAATGGAGGAAGGATAGCATCTTCAACAAATGGTGCTGGGAAAACTGGAAATCCATATGCAACAAAATGAAACTGAATCCCTTTCTCTCGCCATGCACAAAAGTGAATTCAAAATGGATCAAGGAACTTGATATCAAATCAGAGACGCGCCGTCTGATAGAAGAAAAAGTTGGCTACGATCTACAGTCGGTGGGGTCGGGCTCCAAATTCCTCAATAGGACACCCATAGCACAAAAGTTAATAACTAGAATCAACAAATGGGACTTACTCAAACTAAGAAGTTTTTTCTCAGCAAAAGAAACAATAAGAGAGGTAAATAGGGAGCCTACATCCTGGGAACAAATCTTTACTCCTCACACTTCAGATAGAGCCCTAATATCCAGAGTATACAAAGAACTCAAAAAATTAGACAATAAGAGAACAAACAACCCAATCAACAAATGGGCCAAGGACCTGAACAGACACTTCACAGAGGAGGACATACAGTCAATCAACAAGTACATGAAAAAATGCTCAACATCTCTAGCTGTCAGAGAAATGCAAATCAAAACCACCCTAAGATACCATCTCACTCCAGTAAGATTGGCAGCCATTAGGAAGTCAAACAACAACAAGTGCTGGCGAGGATGTGGGGAAAAGGGTACACTTGTACATTGCTGGTGGGACTGCAGATTGGTGCAGCCAATTTGGAAAGCAGTATGGAGATTTCTTGGAAAGCTGGGAATGGAGCCACCATTTGACCCAGCTATTCCCCTTCTTGGTCTATTCCCTAAAGACCTAAAAAGAGCATGCTACAGGGACACTGCTACATCGATGTTCATAGCAGCACAGTTCACAATAGCAAGACTGTGGAACCAACCTAGATGCCCTTCAATAGACGAATGGATAAAAAAAATGTGGCATTTATACACAATGGAGTATTACTCTGCATTAAAAAATGACAAAATCATAGAATTTACAGGGAAATGGATGGCATTAGAGCAGATTATGCTAAGTGAAGCTAGCCAATCCCTAAAAAACAAATGCCAAATGTCTTCTTTGATATAAGGAAAGTAACTAAGAACAGAGTAGGGACGAAGAACAGGAGAAGAAGATTAACATTTAACAGGGATGAGAGGTGGGAGGGAAAGGGAGAGAGAAGGTAAATTGCACGGTAATGGAAGGAGACCCTCAGGGTTATACAGTGGAGGGGGTAGAGAGAGAGGAGGGGAGGGGAGGGGAGAGGTGGGGAGGGGGGAGGGTGGATGAGGGGAAAGGCAGCGGAGCACAACAGACACTAGTATGGCAATTTGTAAATCAATGGATGTGTAACTGATGTGAATCTGCAATCTGTGTATGGGGTGAAGGTGGGAGTTCATAACCCACTAGAATCAAAGTGTGGAATATGATATGTCAAGAAATTTGTAATGTTTTGAACAACCCACAATAAAAAATTAAAAAAAAAAAAAAAAAAAAAAAAAAAAAAGAACCTAAGTCCTTTGCTAAGGACATACAAAAAAAAAAAAAAATATTGGTTGATTTACAAAATAGACTGCATGAATAGACTGCATGGGGCAGGGGATATTGGTACTGTGGACATGAGTTTTGATTTTTTATGGGGGGCATTTGGTCTCAGGATTATGACATATTCCACATGTTAGAGAAGGATTTCCAGTTGTGACTTTGGATTCTTAAGGGACTGGACCAATGGAAAAAAATACATAATAATTTAATATAAAGACTGAATTTGTAGTGATAAATGTTTTTTTAAGTACTTTATTTTTTTTTTGTTTTTTGTTTTTTTAATGGAACCTATTAGTTGAACTTTCTGGGGAAAGGCCCAGGATAGGGTACTAAACTGACTTTTCATGACCATCTAGGGCCACCCAGTGCTCCTGCAGAAGACCGTTCAGGAACGCCTGACAGCATTGCTTCCTCCTCTTCAGCAGCTCACCCACCAGGAGTTCAGCCACAACAGCCTCCATATACAGGAGCCCAGACACAAGCAGGTCAGATTGAAGGTAAAATAGTTTAGAGCACCTGTGTAGGAAGGTACATGTGCAGCTGGAGTGGGCTGCCACACCTCTTGGTTTGGCCAGCTGGAGAATTGAGGTCACAGCCATTTTGAAGCATCTGCCTAGTAGCTTTCTGTGGGGGAGTCTGAGAGTTCATGAAAAGCATTGCCAGACCATCACAGAAGATACTTGCTGTGGGATCCAGGCGGGGGATACATAGGGGAGAGGAGCTTGTTTTCGTTTGTTTCTGGCAGCTCATTGGATCAGCTTGGGAGAATCCAAAAGTTGGACAGGCAGGCGTATTAGAATTTATGGTTTGATCTTGGAAGACCACACTCACTAGTGACAGAGTATGTAAGACCAGTGGAGGGTTAGTTTCCTCACTCTACAAATGGAGTTCTCAGGAGGCCAATGAGACCCAGACATCTAGCAGAGATGGGCATCTGCTCACCGTAGGGGATGTGGATATACTCTGTCTGGATGCTGCTGAACAAAGTTCCAAAGGATAGTTAGATAAAGTGCTAGCCTCTGGAACATCCCAATTGGAACGCATCAGCCCCATTCTGGGAGAGCATTGACCTAGTCACTTCAGACAAGATTCCCAAGTGTCAATATTTTCCAGTCTGTTTTATCTTAAACTCATGAGAAGGGAAAGTGAGAGCTACTACAACCAGGTTCTTTTCCCAGTCTAGCTGGCAACTTGGTAAAGAAACACAGAGATCTGGTTTAACAACCCTCTGCTTTTGCTCTCTTGTGGGAAGACTTGGAGAGAAAGGTGCAACAGCAAAGGCAATGAACCTTTTTTTCCCATATTTTTGTTTCATTTTTAATTATTTTTTCACCCTTTTTTTTTTTTACCTTGTTTTGACTTTGGAGGGTTAGGGGATTTTGTAGGGGTTTTTTTTTTTTTTTTTTTTTTTTTTTTTGGATTTTTTTGTTATTTTTGCCTTTTTGTTCCTCTTATTGCTCTGTATCCTCTTTCTTCCCCCCTAATTACCAAATTATCTTGTCCCCCCTGCTACCTCCTTCTTTCTCTCTGTTTAGTTTTTGGATATTTCAAACTTGCTTTTGCCTTCCTATACCATTTTCTTTTTTCTTATGGAACTGTAATTTTACTATCTTTCAGAATGATTTCGTTTGTATTATTCCTGTCTCCTGTCATTCATGTTGTTGGGTTATTCGTACTGTGGTTGATGTAGTTGATGCCTGTTTACTTTAATGCTAGATACAGGTTGGAGCTGTTTATTGTTGCTGATGTTAAGTGTTGACCCCACCATTCTTCTTTGTGTGTGTTACAAACATCATAATAAGCATCAGACATTTATTTTAATGCTGCATATTGGTTGCTACTATTGTTGGTATTGGTCACTTCCCCTTTTTCTAAGGGAGGCTGGGAAGTGACCAGGATACTACAAGCTCACACAGTAGAAACTCTGCTGCTGAACTATCCCCATAACTCAACCAAGTGACATTTGAAACTCAATCCATACACAGACCATCCCCACTAAGTTCCAGCAATACTTTTAAGACATAGAATGAGGAGACAAAAACCCCAAACCAATGACCAGGCCCCAAGTATCAATGGCCGGATATGTACTTATATAGCAAAGTCAAAGAGGTCCCAAGACAGGGGCTCAGAGGAAACAGTAGTGCTGCATCTGCTTTCCAAGAGTGGATATTAAATCAGCAGGGTTTTTTTTTTTTTTTTTGGTGGTGCTGGGGATTGAACCTGTTGCCTTGTGCATGCAAGGCAAGCACTCTACCAACTGATCTATATCACCAGCCCCTAAATCAGTAGTTCTTCAGAAGCAAACTGAAACACTAGAGTCTGAAGTTAACACTTGAATTATGCTGAGCATAGGTGCTGAAGTTATAAGATACCAATAGTACAGGACTTAATACAGAAAAGATAACTATACACCAAAGGAAAGACTCATAAAAGAGGAAGAAGACTTTTATGCTCAGGTCTAAGACCTCTAAAAACATATAGAAACTAGCAAACAAATTTCCTCCTTTCCCAATAAAGGGCATAAAAGGGAAACAGATATGGAAATGGATGAAATTCCAGAGAACGACTATAAAAACTGATTATTAAAATGTTTAATGAGCTAAAAAAGATATAAGGAACAAATTAAGAGCAAATATATTTCAATAAAGAGAGATTTTGAGAAGAAATCATTCAGTCTTATAGAATTCAGACAAAATGAATCAAATAAATTCACTTGAAAGTATCACCATAAGATTAGATTGTGTAGAAAATAGAACTTAAGGCCTCAAAGACCAGGGTGTGTGAACTTGAACACCCAGTGTGCAATAGGGGTAGGGGACAAAAGACCTTGATCAGAAAATTCAATAACTCTGGGACAACATCAAGAAACCAAACTTAAGAGTTATTAAGATACAAGAGGGCATGCAGACAGTAAGCTAATGGCATTAAGAACCTTTTCAGTGAAATAATAGGCAGAAAATTTCCAAACTTTAGGAATGAAAATGGGCATCAACATACAGGAGGTATATAGAATCCCAAATAGACAAGGTCAAAAAAGAGCCTCTCTAAGACATATCGTAATCATAATAAAAGTACCTAATATAGAAAATAAGGGTAGAAAATTAAGAGGAAAACATAACATTTTCAGGCAAACCAATAAGGCTGACTTCTGACTTCTCAGACTCTAAAATACAGGAGTGCTTAGAATGAGAAAATCCAAGTTCTGAGGAGGGGGTGGAGGGGAAAAAAAAAAAAAATATATATATATATATATATATATATATATAAAACACACACACACACACACACACACACACACAAAAAAAACCCAAACTGCTAGCCAAGATTGCTATATCCAGCAAAGTCTTTCAGATTCAAAAGAAAAATAAAAACTTGACATTCATGACCACTAAACTAGTACTACAGAAAATAAATACTATGCAAAGAAGCTATAAAATCACAGAGCTCCCAAATGGTTGTCAGTTCTCTAGAAGAGCAATTAAGTAAATTAACCTAAAAAAATTTAGGAAATCTAAGGTGAAAAACTTCTATAGTTAACACAATAGAACATTAAAGAAAGAAACTGAAGATCTCAGAAGTTGGGAAGGCCTCCCATGTTCATGGATAGGTAGAATTAGCATTGTCCAAATAGCCATATTATCAAAAGCAATTTTATAGATTCAATAAAAAGACATAGAATAGCCAAAGCATTTCTGAGCTTTGAGTGAGGCTGGAGGTATCATAATACCTAACTTCAAATTATACTATAGAGCTATAGTACCCCAACTGCATAGTACTGGCATAATATCAGATGTTAAGATCTATGAAATAGACAAATCCTCATAGATAAAGTCATCTAATCTTTGATATAGGTGCCAAAAACACATATTGGTGAAAAGATAGCCTGTTTAACAAATGGTGGTGGGAAAAATGGATATCCATATATAGAAGAATGAAACTAGAAACCTATCTCTGCACAAAAATAATCTCAAAATATATCAAAGACCTAGAAATTAGACCAGAACCATTGAAACTGCTAAAAGAAAACATAGGGACATTATTCCAACATATTGATACAGGCATCAACTTTCTTAATAAGACTCTTAAAGTTCAAGAAATAAAACCCAAGTTTCAATAATATCAATCTAAAAAGCTTCTGCACAGCAAAGGATATAAGAGTGTGAAGAGAGAGCCTACAGAAACGGGAGAAAAGCTTTACCAGCTACTATTCCAACAGGGAATTAATATCCAAGATGTATAAGGAAGTGAAAAAACCTTAATACCAGCAAAACCAATAACCAAATCAGTAAATGAGCCAAAGATCTCAATAGACACTTTTCAAAGAAAAAATACAGATGGACAACAAGTATATGGAAAAAAAAAAGTTTAGTATCCTTAGCAATCAGTGAGATGCAAATCCATATGACACTGATATTCTGTCTCATTTGGTTAGAATGGCAGTCAACAAGAATACACATAATAATTCCTGACATGGAAATGGGGGGAAAGATATGCTTATACTTTGTTGGGACTGCAAATTAGTACAGCCACTTTGGAAAGCACTATGGAGATTTCTCAGAAAACTGGGAATAAAGCCCAGATATCCCACTCTTTGGAATTTATCCAGAGGTGCCAAAAACATGTTTGAAGAAAGATATCCTGCTTGAACACAATGGTGAAGGGAAAACTGGATATCCATATGTGGAAGACTGAAACTAGATCCCTACTTCTCACACTACACAAAAATCATATCAAAGTGTATCAAAGATCTAGGAATTATACCAGAAACACTGAAACTAAAAACATCATCCAACAGTGATATATGCATAAGATGCAGTGCAGTTCACAGTAGCCAAGTTATGGAACCAGCCTAGGTCCATCAACAGGTGAATGGATAAAGAAAATGTAGTCTGTATATGTTACTATGTCATTTGCAAGTTAATGAAAGGACCTGAAGAACATTATGCTAAATGAGGTAAACTAGGCTCAGAAAGTTAAGGGTCAAAAGTTTTCTCTGATTTGTGGAACCTAGAGAGAGGAACAATAATAAAGAGAAGGATCTCATGAAAATAGGAGACTAATAGAGTAGAGGAAGGGGATGGGCAGGGTAGGAGGAGGGAAGGGCATGTGAAATGAAATCTACAGCAAGCTATTTAAAAATAATAATGCAAAGGACATCAGTAGAGCAAGCAGATCTGGGGAGGCAGGATGGAAGGAAAAGGGAAGGTACTGGTGAATTAAATTGATCAAATTATATGCATGTGAGCATGTGCAAATATGACATAATGAAGCCTACTTTTTATGTATAATTACAGTGCACCAATAAAAATGTATTTTTGTGAATATAAATACAGAATGAAAGATTAGGAAGAATTCATAGCACTCACTAGTCAGTGGTGAACCCTGGGGAAGAGAGTGAAATTGGGAAAGATGACTTCACAGTTTACTTGGCGTAATTCCGTGGTGGCATTTTAGCCCCAACGCCCAAACTGCGTAATTTTTCTAACTTAAAATATTT